CCAGAGCAGGCATCAAGTATTTGCCTGAGTCTTGTTCTTGTTCTCATCTTCATCACGTGAAAGAAGCACAGTGGCGATCAGAATCTAACTCAGGGTCCCCTGCTGGGGCTGCGCAGTGGCAAGAGGCCACGCCGCTCCTTCTTTGCTCCCATCAGTCTTCTCTCTGCCAGGGGGAGAATGGGTGGGCAGCCCTTGCAGAGAGCTGAACTGATGGCATGCAGAGGGCATCTCGATTTAGGCTGAGGGCTACAGGTGCTCCCCCCGTATCAACTCTGGTCAGCTGAAGGCCACATTGGGGAAAGTCTCCTGGGATAGGTTATTGGAAGGCAAGGGAGATGAGGAGGGGTGGATGGCACTCAAAAGGGAGATTTTGGAGGTGCAAGCCTTGACGATACCTCTAGTTGGCAAGGCGGGGAGGTAGAGGAGAGTAAGTAAAGAGGTGGTAAGAGGGATTAGATGCAAGAGAGGCCTCCATAGGAAATGGGCACTGGGGCAAGTAGACAAAAGGGTATACCGGGAGGAGGAGGCCTGTTGCAGAAGGATTCTTCGCAAGCTAAGGCTGAGTATGAGCTGAGATTGCAAGAATATCAAGAGCAGCAAAAAGGGCTTCGTGGAGCATGCAAAAAGCAAGAGGAAAGGGAGACAAGTGGACCACTAAATAAGGAGGAAGGGGATCCAGTGACTGATGCGAGGGAACAGGAACAGATGCGAAATGTCTATTTTACCTCTATTTTCTCCCCAAAGCAGGATGGGGGAGATCTACGTGGGGGACAGGATGAGGCCGGGGATTTAGGGGCACAGATTAGAGTCCCCCGCTAGAAGTTGGGGAGCTCCTCAGGGCAATGGATGTTACAAAGGTACCAGGCCCTGATGGATTACACCCAAGGGTACTTAGAGAGAACTGGAGGGTGGCATCAGTGGTCCCAATTTTCAAAAAGGGTAGTTGAGGGGCCATGAGGAATTGGGAACTGGTTAACCTTAAGTCTGTTCTGGGAAAGACAGTAGAAACCTCATAACAGAGAGATCTAGTAACCCTAGATAGGGAAGGGAGGTTGGTGGCCACGCAACACAGCTTCCACAAAAACAAGTGCTGCCAAACAAATCTTGTGGAATTCTAAAACAAGGTTTCGAGATGGCTAGATGGAGGGGACGCAGTGGATGTGGTTTACCTGGATTTCAGCAAGGCCTTTGACAAAATGCCTCATGATATCCTGGTTGAAAAGTTTTGGGATAGATCAATGCACTGTCCAATGGATTAGTGTATGGTTGACAAACCAAAAGCAGAGGGTAACTATTAGTGGGGAATCATCAGGATGGCGGTTGGTGATGAGCAGTCTTTCCCAGGGCTCTGTCCTGGGACCAATCCTATTCAATCTTCTCATTAACAACATGGAAGAAGGGGTGAACAGTCTGCTGATTAAATTCGCAGACTATACTAAAACCAGGGCAGTGGCCACAACTGAGGAGCAGACTATGGAAGTGGGCAGGGGACAACAGGATGGCGTTCAATGTGGGTAAGTGCAAGGTCATGGACAGGAAAGGGTGTCATAAGTAAAGGTTAGGGGACAAATGGCTGGAGAGCAGCACTTGTGAAAGGGACCTCGGCATGCTGGTTGACTGCAGGCTAAACATGAGTCAGCAGTTTGACATGGCGGCCAAGAGGGCTAACGCCACCCTTGGATGCATAGCTCCCCACAGAGGTCCACCTGGCACTGTCATTATATGTTTTTTGGCATCAGGTCAAGACCTTTTTATTTAATCAATATTTTATGTTGATTAATGTTTTAATATGTTTTAATATTGTTTCAATATTGAATTTTATTGTTGTATTTTATTAATATGCAGCCAGGGTGGATGGTCAGTTTATTTATGTTGTAAGCCGTCCAGAGACGCAAGTAATTGGATGGCATACAAAATTTATAAATAAATAAATAGCCAGAAGCGTGGCTTCTAGATCGAGAGAGGTATTACTACCACTCTATACGACTCTGGTGCACCCACAACTTGTGTATTGTGTTCAGTTCTGGGCTGCTCATTACTGGAAGGATATAAGCAGGTTGGAACTGGTGCGGCGTAGGGCTACACGGATGGGGCTGGATTGCTGGGAAAGCTGTATGAGGCAAGACCGAGGGAACTGGGTCTTTTCAGCCTGGAGAAGAAAGGACTCTGAGGAGATCTGTTGATGACACATAGAGACATGAGGGGTGTCACACAGAGGTGGGTCAAGACCTGTTTTCCCTTGTGGAGGAGGGCAGGATGCATCCCAATGGAGCAAAGCTCAGGGAATCAAGGTTCAATTTGGATGCCAGAAAGTCCTTGACAGTTTGGACCCTGAGCGTATGGAATGGGCTTCCATGGGAGGTGGTTGAAGCCCCATCAGTGAGGGTGTTTAAGGATAGGCTGGAGATGTACATGGTAGGCATGTCGTGAGCAGTGCTGGCTGAAGCCGGGGGTCGGACTAGATGGCCAAGGAGGCCCCTTCTGACTCGTTCTGTTTCTAGGTTTCTATGTTTGTAGAAAGAAAGAAGCCCTACCAAAGGGAAGCACATGGTGCTTCCTGTCCAGAGACCCTCCAGCCATTGCTTCTGACAGCTGACTGGGGGACACCAGTACAGATGGTCAGGCAACTGGTATGCTCCTGCAATCTGTCATGTTGCTCACCCACTGAGTTAATTAGAAATATAAAATCAGAGACTTTGTTCAGAAGTTCTGTCCAACACCTCTTTCTGAAGCAGATTGCAGGCCCCAAGCACTGGCCAGTTGTTGTAGCAATAGTTCACTGGCCCGCTGGTTTGTTTCTGTTCTGTCCTTTTTGTGAAATGAAGAAGCCAGAATCTTTTTCAGGTCATTAAGAAGTTAAGGAATTATTGTACAGTGTCTTGTGGAACAGTTCTATTTCACGTCTGCATCACTCCCCCATTCATCCTTCAGGATCCAAAGTTTCTTGCGGTTGCTGCCATGAGCTCTGAGGCTGGAAGGAGAGAAAGAAGGAAGTGACCCATCCGAGCCAGCCAGCCCTCCTCAGCGCAGGGGTCCTTGCTGGAAAATGGCCACCTGGGAGCATGTGCCCTTCAGCGGGTGGGCCTGGATCAGGCGGAAAGGTCAGGCATGCCCTGAGAGATCAAGGCAGAGCACTGCCCTGCCCCCACCCGACACAAATGTGTCTGCCCAGGGTCCTGGTTGTGGCTCCTTCCAGACCTTCCCTGGCCTTCGGAAAGTGGAAAGAGGGCTGGCCCTGCTGCTACCCAAAATGCCCCCAGCAATGGCAAAGGGGCTGGCCGCTTGTCCCTCGAAGGAGCTTGTTTTCCGCCCAGACGGGAACCAGCTGACCACCAGTTCCTTCTTCCGTGCACAGCGGGAGCTCCTTTGCAGCACAGCCTGTGGGCAGTGCCGCTGGGCCTGCACTGAGGACAGCTTTCTCTTCAGGCTTATGTTCATGCTAGGACACCTGTGGAGGAGGGAGCCAAACAGGGGCACGCTGGTTGTCTAGTCTGATAGCACCATGTCCTACTTCTCTGGCCTGGGCTTTGGTTGCAGTGGAGCTTGCCCAAATAACAGGAAAATGGGTGAGGCCCTCTGGGGTGGGAGAACAAATGCTCTGCAAAACCAGGAGGCTGCACAGTGTCAGGCTGATGGTCTCCAGGGCATCGTGGAGGTGCATCCTATTGCACCACAACTGGGGCTGCCCATGTGGGGAGGGGGTGACAGCAGGGATTCTCCAAAATGCCCTAAGATTGAGAAACACCCCCCAAAAATTCAGAGTTTAAATATGCTTTCTCATAGTTTAGAGCCAGAGTGTCCATGCTGCTTTTGTCTTTTAGATTCTGACCTTAGGGAGTCTTCTCAGATCGTAAGGCTGCTTCCAAGCCCCATCCGGGATGCTTTTCAAAGCTTGGAAATTGCTTCATGGGCGAAATTGAAGCCTTCTTAGTAGCGTTAGAGAACTGGTGGAGGGTGACTGAAGAGGGGCTGCCTCATCCGTGGGACACAAGCTGAACCACACCAGAGAGCCAGTGTGGTGTAGTGGTTAAGAGCTGGGACTGGGACTCAGACGACCTGGGTTCTAGTCCCCGCTCAGCCATGGAGCCCACTGGGTGACTTTGGGCCAGTCACAGACTCTCAGCCCAGCCTACCTCACAGGGTTGTTGTTGTGGGGATAAGATGGAGGAGGCGAATGATGTAAGCTGCCTTGAGCCCTTTGTAAGAAAAAGGCAGGATATAAACAAACAAACAAACCTCCCCTCCACCAGGGAGCACCTGCTGTCCCCATATTGTCTTTTAGGTACCATTTTGAGATCTTGTTCTTATCTTTGGCATTTTAATGGTTTGTACTTTAAAATGCAGTGTCCTCACAATACTTAAGTCCTGTTGCTGATGTGCTTACAAAGGTACTTATACATCCGATTCTGCCCTGGGCAAATCATATGGTGAGCCACTTCAAATCAGTCAGAAACCACAAATGAAACCAAAGGGAGCCATGTAGGCGCTCAGCAGCAGCTTGTGGGGAGACCCTCCCTCCCGCTCTGGTGCCTCATGCTCCGCTGTGGAATGGGCCTGCTGGCTTGTCCATTCATGTGTATGGCCACCCCGGGCTGGCCTGTGTCTCCCAGGCTGATGTGCTCCAGTTGTCCTGGACTGCAAGTCCAAGAATCCCTGGCCGCTGGCCTTGTTGGCTGGGGCTGCTTTAGTGCAAGACTCTGGATGCCTCCACCTGCTTTGGCGAACAGGTGAGGCCTCCTCGCCTCCGCCTGAGTACTGGGGCTTCCTATTTCCCAACACCAAAGTGAGAAGAGGTGGAATGGGAAAACCCTGTCTCTTTCTTGAGGGGATTAGTGGTTTGGGGGAAGGGGGCGAAAGGAAAGGAGAGCTTCTTCCCTGGAAGGATGTGGGAAGAGCTGCAGCCGTGATCTTCAGCCATTGGCTCTCTCTGCCCACACCCACTTATAAAGTTCACCTGCCCACAGCCTCACGGAGCAGACGGGCACTTCTGGAGGAGCACAGGAGCCGCTCCGAAGAGACCCTTTCCTGCAGAGGCCGCAGCCACTCCCAGCCACCGCCCCGTGCCACAAAGGTATGTGATGGCCCTGCGTCGCTTTCCGCAGACCGTTGGCTCGGTGGTGGATGCCGAGTGCCTTTCTGGATCAAAGAAAGCTTTTTACACTTCCAAGTGCATTTTTAAAAACATTCTCTTGTGTGCTCAGTAGTACACAAATCTCTCTCTCTCTCTCTCTCTCTCTCTCTCTCTCTCTCTCTCTCTCT